CAGGAATGGGAAGAATTTAAGATTAAAAGACAGAATTTTAAATTAAATACATATATCTTTCTCAAAAATTCATCATACCATCCTGATTTCACATGCCACCATGGATAGGGGCCACTGCATTCTGGACTCAACCAATGGATTAGAATGTAAGAACTATTGTTTAGCTCCATGACGTTAGTAAACATCTGCTAGAAGGTAATGTGAAAATTTGTCCGCCAAATTACAGGACTAACAACTTTATCCTTAAGAGTATCTTTAACTTATTATGTATTCCAAATCACTATATGCAATTTTAAAAAGTTATTAAAAGGTTACTTTTTAATTCAATAAACATGTATTGAGCACCGATTCTATGTCACATACTTATTCGGGCATTTGGAATATAAAATACAGTAGAATACAAATATAACAAAGATTAATAAAAAAGCAGAGTGGAGACAATATTGAAATTGAGAACCTGCGTTCTTGCTCTCCCTCCAAGGAACCTCCTCATACCCCTGGGTGTTTAGTATCCTATGAATCGGTATAAAAAGTCATGTTTGTCTTTCTCTTTGAAAACTAAGTTACATAGTGAAAATTATCTGAAGAATCAAAGGTAAACTATAAAATGTAAGAAACTACATGAAAACTTTTGGAACTCAATCTGTGGTTTCTCATAGTATATATTCTCACTGTAATAGATTTAATATGTTCTTTCTTAAGAGCTTCAAAATGGGATTCTTTGCACTAATGATTTATTGAGTTCATCTTTGAAAGTATCCCTAGTATCACCATCTATCCATCTCCTTTTGCTGCTAAGGAAACAATCCTCCAAATATGACATGACTTACAGAATGGGTTAGTGGTTAAGCCTCCTGAGCTCCAGCTCTGTGCTGCTCTCCCTGTTCCACACTAAGGTTTCTTTCACATTAGGAACTAAACATGTACGCAGTTCATTTGAATCTCCCAGAGCATTAAGGCATACTAGGGAGGCAGTCTTGTTTTGGAGAGCAGAAGTGAACAAAAAAGTGATACAAAAAGGCAGGTGGGGGCTTCCCTGGTGGCGCAGTGCTTGAGAGTCCGCCTGCCGATGCAGGAGACGCGGGTTCGTGCCCCGTTTCGGGAAGATCACACATGCCGCGGAGCGGCTGGGCCCGTGAGCCATGGCCACTGAGCCTGCGCGTCCGGAGCCTGTGCTCCGCAAATGGGAGAGGCCACAACAGTGAGAGGCCCGCATAACGCAAGGAAAAAAAAAAAAAAAAAAAAGGCAGGTGGCCACAGGGCTTCTAGGGATTCTCTCTGCTAATCATGTACTCTACTTGCCCTACTGCTCCTAGCCCTGGCAGCTCTTCTCTTCTCCTTTGCCCTTTCTAATCCTCATCCTCCTGTCCTCTTGACACCAGCTTGATGGGACTGATCAGTGTTTTGATTATAACTTTGTGTGCTGTTGACCGTGGCCAATCAGGCTGGCCTTGTATTACCAATTCTCACTCCTTGAAGAGAAGGAATAACATTGAAATGCTTTACCTGGGAACTTGAATTCAGTTCAGCTGTTTTGGCTGGTATAGTATGTTTTAAAAATCAAACTTAAATGCCTTTATAGTGGACTTGCATGTCCTCATTGGCTGCACACTCCCCGCACTGCCTACTGGATTACACCAGGCTTTTCTACACACTTTTCAGAACTGCCTGGCCCCTGGAAGCATTTGAGTTGACTACTGGTGGACTGACATCTTCCTGACAGACTGTGACAGGAAGATCTTGGGTTCTTTGGGGTAACAGACACTAATTTTCAGTTTACTATGGGTCTCTTTAAAATCGAAAGCATTGCCTGTGGCATCTCTCTCACTGGTCAGAATTTAGTACTGATGTGGCCAAAATCACAATGCTTTGCATTCAATAATGAGTCCTAGGGAGTTCAAGTGGGAGTGTAGATGGAGGGGGAAAGAGTTCAGAAGAACCCAGTTAAAATACATTATTGTGTGTGCTCAAGAATCTTGAAGCAATGATTTGTTATTAACACCTTGCTTTTCTGATAGAAATGCCTACAGACAGAAGACTTAGTAATATTTGGTTTAATACAGAAGGGTCTCTTTATCTCATTTGTGAAAGGATTCTCCTGGATGTGGTGCTCTCCAGGGAAGGTACAAGGTCATTCAACAGTGTATTTTCCCTTGGTCCCAACATCATTTTCATTCAAATCCTCTTCAATACAGGTTGCCAATTTGGCCTGTTCCATCTCCAACAATGAAGAAGGGGTGAAATTAGTTCGGATGGCAGCCACCCAGATTGACAGCCTGTGTCCCCAGGTAAGCCTCACTTACTTTGTTTCCAAAGCCTGATATTTCAGATTTTCTATGCTCCAGCCCTCATGTCACTCACTTCCTTGCCTTGCCCTCGTTCCTCTCACTGGAAAGTGCTACCCAACATTCGTGGGCCATTTCAGGTTCTGCCTTTCTCAAAAAGAACTTCAAACTATTCCAGTCTCTTCAGAATTACTGTGGCAATTATTCTCTTTTCCACTCCTATTGACTTTCTTCTATTTATCTTGGACCGTTATTTCAATGCTCCATATCTATTTACCTTTCGTGTCTCAACCACTAAATTATATGCTTGCGCGTGTAGAACAAGAGTTCTGTTTCTGCCACATCTGTGCTAAGTAGGCTTTGTCCAGTAAACACTTTTTGAAACTATATCTTAAAAAAAGGAGAAGAGCAAACAAAAACTAGTAGTAGTTGATAACCTACTTTAACTTTCATGTTTTGATTGTCCTTCCAAACACTGGGAACCCACTTATCTGTGGAAGCTGCAGGGTCCAGGATTTCAACATGATCTTTGACCTGCGTGTTCCTCTTTCGAAGAGTGTGGTCAATATGTCCCTGGATTGTTTCTAACAAATAGGTCATCAATGCCGCTCTCACACTGGCTGCCCGGCCACAGAGCAAAGTTGCTCAGGACAATATGGATGTCTTCAAAGACCAGTGGGAAAAGCAGGTCCGAGTGCTGACAGAGGCTGTGGATGACATCACCTCAGTGGATGACTTCCTTTCTGTCTCAGGTAATCACAAACGGGCCCCTTACAAGGCAGCCAAAGGAAGAGAACAAGATGAGATGAGGAATATCTTTCAAATGTCATGGGTCTGTGTTTCAAGTGCTCTCCTTGGCCCTTTGAGCTGTCAATCATCTCTGCAACTGTAATTGTAACACCCTCTTGAAAATTCTTCTCTGCTGTGCATATTATTTCAAGACACTGAGCCAAAGCATTTGGGGGGAAAACACACATTTCTGATCAAGATATTAGAAACCTGAACAGATTATTTAAGTAGAGTTAGGCTCCTTTTTACTTCCTGGAGTTTTTAAAATAGGATGGCCTTTGATGCATCTGAATCATCCATCTAAAAAAGGGTATGGGTTATGAGACTGGTTATGTTTAAAAATCAAAAAAACAATGAGTTATTCCAATTTGGCTGCATTAAGGTTTTTTTCCTCAATAAGTGAAGTTACCCAGGTTTGTGATAAGCTGGGAAGAAATGTTAGCCACAGAATGAACCCATTAGAAGGCACTTGGGAGCTATTGAGGCTTTGAGCACTTGACCATGAGGTTGTGGAAAGAAGTGAGAGAAAGTAACTAGTCATCACTGGAAATTGTAACTTTCTTCTTTGTAAATGAAGCCAGACTGAAGGATGTTGGCATATTTGAATAACCATGTAGTCAATTTGACCTTTAACGGGGCTCATCAATGCTGTTTCAAATTTGGCTACCAGCCAGCTAATGGGCCTTTTTCCAAACACATTTGACTAAACACACTTGGCCCAATTCACCTGGAAAAGTCTCTATGGGAGGCATGGGGGAGGAGGTCACCAGAAACCTCAGCCTCCTTGCAAGGCATTAAAGTAACCAAGTGATGCTTGAAAATTCAAATTGACCAGGTGTTGACTCTACCCACAGGCATATGGAACTCACACCTGACAGCTCAGGTGTGCCCTAGCCTTGACCAGGACTTACTGAGGTCTGAGAGGGAGGGGTTGCAGCGCAGATGGTGGGATCCAGACAGACAGGGCCTCTGACTGCAACAGTGTGGAAGGGATTTCTGCAGGAGGCTTAGTGTATTTAGAAACTTTTCTCTAGTTGCAGTCTTTCCTTTCACCAAGAAACTGACAATGAATTCCCACTGGGGGCTTGTGTTTAAAACTTGTCTGAGAACAGCATAGTTGAATTTGTAGATCTGATGGATGATGGAAAAGCCAACTTTGAAATCATGGAGGGCAGGGCAAGGGAGATGGGAAAAATGAGTGAACACATGCTCAGTATCTATAATTTGTCTGACTTTCTGCTATTTGGTTTAATTCACACCAAAGTTTTATAAGATAGGCATCACTATTCTGAGCTTTCCTTTGAGAAAAGTAAGGCACTGAGAGGTAGGTAACTTGGCAGAGGTATAATTAAAATCCAGATATCCTCTTTCCAGAATCTATATAGTTCTCAGTAAGTCTAGATAGAAGGGAATTTGCCTTTGATGTTTGGAAACCTGTCTTATTCTTCATTCCCAAAGTGCTTTGTTTTTGATGACTTGTCAAAGCAACTATTCATTTAAACATACCCATATCCAGGGGTTGGCTGATAAAGAACTCAATGTGTTGCCATTCCTGGGATTTTTGCTTCACTGATGCGTGAGTCCTAACAACATAAAAGATATGCAAGAAATGCATCTTTCATAAGGTACTTAGAAATTGTTTGGATAGACATATTGGGGATTTGAGTGGTGGGGAATGGAAGGATGGACACCAGGACTGAGCATCTTTCTTGTATCTAGTCAGTCTTTGCCAGGATGACTATAGGGGTCCCCAAAAGGGGCAGGGGGACTCTCCAACCACCCTCAGATCTCACACAGCAATCCTAACAGCCCCTGGAAATCTTATGCTATTCCCTTTCTATCTACAAATGAATAGAAAATATCCATATACTACCTTTTTCAAAGAGGAATCATTTCAGAACTTAAAGCTTTCCCAACTTATCCTTTTCTTTAAATGCATATATGAAAATTTCTGAGGGTAGAGAAAAGCAAGGTTAGGAGGTCTTATCTCAGACTGTTTCAGTAGTGCAAAGCTTTTCTTAATTTTCTTCCACCGGATCTGCCTCTCTGCCACCTTTCTCCCTGCCATTCCTTTGTGCATCTCATTATTACCAGCAACAAGAAAAGGCTTTGGCTTCCGCTGATAACACTATGCAGTCCAACCCCAGTGGTACAAGCGCCGCGGCATGCCATGACAGGAAAATGAACAGGCGCTGTCAGGGAGCCAGCCTTGGCAGGACCTGCTAGAGCATGCCTTTGGACTTGACAATCGGAGGCGGCAGGCACCTTTCCACAGATGGGCTTGACAAATAATGACACAGCCCACTCTGTCCTGCTGGTAGACTTTAGATACAGCCTGATAGTTGGGGAAACTACTTCTCATCTCCTCTCCGAGCTGGAGCCAAAACATTTGCATCAGTAAATTGCAAGGTTGGCCCAGGAGATATTTTGAAATGGCATTAATGACACTTTATGTATCAGTTTCTTCTTAAGGGAATATCTATTCTGGCAGGAAACTCTATTTTGAAAACAACAACAGAAAAGATTTTTTTTAAGGTATAGTTTTGTTTTGCTTTCTTTTTTTCATGCTACCTGAACTTGTGTGTCTGAGTGAGTGCTTAATTTGTCCATATGAAATGCAACAAGTTTGGGGAGCTACTAACATTACAGGAGCAAAACCAATTTTCAGATGTGGTCTGGGCTTATAAAAAAAATGAAATGGCTGTATTAGAACACTTAAACTTTTCCCACTGGGCAAAAACTAAAATTTTTAATAGTGTCTTAAAATGAGCATCTTGGCATTAATCACATAACAGTTGAATTCTTGGGTTTGGCTCACAAAATAGCAGGCATCTAAGATCTGAAAAAGCTGTTAACTCAATCCCATAATGTCTAAAAGTTTTGTTTTGTTTTGTTTGCCTTTTCCTTTTTTATTTGTTTGTGTTTTTTTGACTCCAGGGTCTTGAGTTTGTTTCATTAAAAAATTCACAGACTGAACTTTGCTTTTGAATTTAGAAACTATAGCTTTAAAGCTTATAATAATCAGGTAGTTTGGTCATCTGTGATTTTTTAACAAGATTATATCTTTCCTGAAATTGTAAGGTTACAAAAATTCAAGGAAGTTTACCACAAAATGCGTTGCAGTCAAATGTTTTATGATGTTTAAGAACCATGCTTTACATCCAGGCATCCAAAGTACCTAAGGGGTTTACCCCAGCAATGTAATCATCTCTGGAATACAGGTGCTTTTTATTATTACTTTCTCTTCTGTGTTATTTTCTAGTTGGAACATCATTCCTCTATCTCCTTACTTAATGAATTCTTTCTCCTGAAAATACCTTAGGATAAAAATATATAATTGATTGTCCCTCTTCAATGGACATGTTTATTCAGGATTTCTTCTTTGATTGCCTGCTCTAAGGCACTGTCAGTATGAAAATATGAGTTAAGTGTGGATTCTGCCTTTGAATAATTCACTGCCCTTTTTGATAGATACTAGACCAGAGTAATTCCAAACTTGTAAACCCCCGACCTGATGGTGTAGGGACTAGGGGTGGAGAAGTTATTACAAGGGGTCCAGAGAAACCATATATAGACCAAGTGTCATCTTTTGATTAAATAATATGTCTACAAGAACAATATAACTCTTTTCAAGTGCATTATTGGTACTTAGATTAATAAAGTACAAATTTATTTTAAAACATTCGTTATCATAGTGGCTTTTACATATATATCATCCACTGGTATAACTACTATCATGAGGGAATTGTAATTCATTTTTTAATAAAAGGGGTACCTCTAATTGGGTAAAGTTTGGAAATGCAGAGTAAACTATCTCAACATTTCATAAAAAGAGTTGATTAAGAAAACTGAGTCAGTTAGTAAACTGAAAATTAGTAAAATTAATATTTTATTCACACATGATTAATGTGACTAACCATTGAACAAATTAATTGGCAATTCAATTAAAAGCAATGCTTTTGCTATCATGGCCTCCTTCAATTAATGTATACAGTTGACCCTTGAAAAACTTGGGGGTGTGGGGCACCAACCCTCCCTCCACACAGCTGAAAATCTGGGCATAACTTTACAGTGAGCCCTATAGATGGGAAATTCCACATCTGTGGATCCAACCAACCTCGGCTCTGTGGTACTGTAGTATTTACTACTGAAATAAATCCATGTATAAGTGGACCTGCACTGTTCAAAACTCTGTTGTTCAAGGGTCAACTGTAGTTATACCTATGAAAGCATATTCTTTTTCTTGCCTCCTAATTAAATTAGTTGCATATTTTAGTTTGGAAATTAGATTTTAAAAACTATCATTTCATTTTAGGATATTAGGTCATGAATGGGCTTCTTACATTTTAAATTTTGTTAATTCCAGATACATTAGTATCTAATGTAATTGACAGATTCCTCTGTTTTGCATTCAATTCCATCTTTATGCACAGAAAAATTGTAGGTATGCTTATTCTTACATTATGTTATTCAAAGAAAATGCCTGGTTTTATTTTTGTTTGTTTGTTTTGTTTTTGTTTTTTTTTGTTTTTTTCTGGTACACGGTCCTCTCAGTTTTGGCCTCTCCCGTTGTGGAGCACAGGCTCCAGATGCGCAGGCTCAGTGGCCATGGCTTACGGACCTAGCCGTTCCGCGGCATGTGGGATCTTCCTGGACCGGGGCACGAGCCCGTGTCCTCTGCATTGGCAGGCGGATTCTCAACCACTGCGCCACCAGGGAAGCCCCAAAATGCTTGTTTTTGACATGAACACCCTCGCAGTTGCCCATTTTCAGGGACCACGACATATTTTAATTGTCTGGAGGAATCCAGCTGGGCAGTAAGAGAGACCTATTTGAATCAAACTTCTGTATTTAAAATCCTGTGCCGTTTCATTTGAGTAAACCCTTTTTTTTAAGGTGTCCTTTTAGGTGAGTTTGCATGATCCAATCCAAGATCTCATAAAGAGGTGGTTTCAGAAGTTTCTTAATCAAAATGAAAGCCTTTAAGTCTCTATTTTCACAACTGTCTTTCTCGTTCTCTCAGGAAAATATCAGCATTCAGGAAATAACTTCTTGTGAGTTTAAGATATCTAAATATTAAAATTTAAACATTTCATTTTTTTTCTATTCTAATTTCTATTTGAAACTAGAGAATGTAGAAATCAGAAATTTATAAATAGTTGAGTGAGGAAATCATATTGTATGAGGTCAAACAGATGTTCCTTTATGAAACATGTTATACTTTGCAATTTTCTATCCAATGTCATATAAAAACAAATATTTTCTCTGAGTGATTGGTTTAATGAAAGAAGGAGAGATCCATGGGACAGACTGGGATTTGCTGAGTACCCTCCCATCTCTCCTTCTTTAGGAATTTATAAATCAGAACTAGCTCTAGAAGCTTCTTAAAGAGGTAACCATTCAATTTAGTCCTTTATTAACTATTCATTGAACAGTTACAATTTCTTAAGGGTTACCAGATTACTTAAGACTACTTCCAAGCTTGTCCTATTATTCTATTGTGTGTGTATATGTATATTTTCAGCTTAAGTTCTTTTTTTTCCTCAGAGTACTAAACTTTTTGAACATTTCCTTAGAATTCTGTTTCTAAAGAATGTTCAAGGAACATAATAACAGATCTCACATTGGACATGGAAAATACAAAATTGCACACTTGCAAAACTGTAAGGGACCAGACTGCATGTTTTTTCTAGGCTGGTAGAGAGAAAAGCCTCTCATCCTGCCTGCTTGGATTCTGCTTTGGACAATGATGGAGAGTGATCCCTGACCTTGACTTCAATCTGAGGGAACCAGCCACAGACTGGATTGTATTACAATTGTGGGGAACTCTGTGATCCTCTTCACCTGATCAGTTTCCATTGCATATACCTTATGCATGACACAACATTGGAAGACTGATGGGGTGATATTTGTTCATTTTAAAGTCTCCCTTAAATGTTTCCTCAATAAAAACATGATCCAACCCAAAGTACAACTCTGGACATGTCTAGAAACGTTGCTGCTAGGTGACTTCTTGTTTGCTGCCACTACCACTCTTAAAAGACCTTTTCACTCAATAAATCGTAAACACTGAAACAAAGAGATATTTTTAAAGTTGGTGGTTCTCAAAGTGTGGTCCCCAAACCAGCAACATTACCATCACCTGGGAACTTGGTAGAAATGCAACTTCTTGGGCCCGACCCCAGACCTAGTGAATCAGAAACCCTGAGAGAGACACCCAAGAGTCTCTGTGATGCTACAAATCCTCCAGTTGATGTTCAAGTTTGAGAACCACTATTGTAATTATAAACTATGTTCTTTAAATATAATTTCAATGTTATTAGGCATGTATTGAGATGTACAAGTTGATGGCTTGTGAGTTAATGAATCTATCTTCAATAGGTTTTTAAGTGTGTCAGTGGTATAAAATCATATAAATGTGTATGTGTCCTCTCCACAGAAAATCATATCTTGGAGGATGTAAACAAGTGTGTGATAGCCCTTCAAGAGGGGGATGTGGACACTCTGGACCGGACTGCAGGGGCTATCAGGGGCCGGGCAGCTCGAGTCATACACATCATCAATGCTGAGATGGAGAACTATGAAGCTGGAGTTTATACTGAGAAGGTGCTGGAAGCTACAAAATTGCTCTCTGAGACAGGTAACCATGGATATTAGGTTTGACCAAAATGTCAGCACCATGATTAATTTCCATACCTGAATCAATCTGTTTCATTGTTTCTCATATGTCTTTCTGCTTCTAAATTACACATGATCATAAAAAGGGTGCTTTTTATTTCTTGAGTTTGAATTGGAATACTTTAGCAGAATAATAATTTATTGTTTTGCAGTATATACTACTCTACAGTTTTTATATATAAGCACTTGATTCTCACAAGGACCTTACGAAGTAGGCAGATTTTTATTATTCCTATTATGAATGTGAAAATGGAGTTTTGAATCAGTTAAGAGACTGGAAAAAGGTCACAAGTCTAGAAAATAGTGAATATCTCATTGGAACTTGGAATCTTGAACTTGAAAAACATTTCCCTGTCTATTTCTTGAGAATATAAGTACAACCAGGGAAAAGCATAAAGGCTCTAGGTAGTACATGGACATGAAGTAATCAAAGGAGGTGGTGGTTACTGAAAAAGGGTTAGACTTTAATATATGCCCTGCTCCTCTAGCAAAGGCTTGCATGCCCTCTTCCAGGGGCATGTGGCTGCCCACTGGGGAATCATGGTCGTGGTGAGACACAGTTACTTATGGGAGCCTGTCATAGCTCTCTGGTACACTGAGATGGAAAAAAGACTTATTTCTACTGAGTTAGCACAACAGCCCATAACTCTGGATAGTTGTGCCAAAGAGTAGCCTATTTTTAGTAGTTTTTGCTCTTGACTGGTGTCTCTTGGCTTCAGACCATTTCTGAAGTCCCTTATGCCTTGTGTATTTGTATATATGGGGGAATGAGAGTAGAGAGAAAGTCCAGGGATGGAGAGAAGACAAATAGAATTAACTTTATATTGGATGGAGTTATGAATGGGTAATGAACTGGGTCCTCTGTGTGCGTAGAAGGAACTTACCTCAGCATCAGTGGGAGTCTTCATGGGTCTATATATGGAATTTGGAACCCACTAGGCTTTTAAAAATAGACATATCTCTGAAAGGTCAGATATAGCAGTGTTCCAAATTCTACATGATAAGACATGTTAGTAGAAACATGTTTCCTTCTACAGGGAAAAGGTTATTTACAAAGACTTCTGTAGCTATTTGTTAGTCTAGAATAGCATGGAAAAACAACAGATAAACAGACATTGGTTGCTCTCTGAAATATAAGCAGAAAAGGACTAGTGTAATATCACATAATAAAGAGCACATCTAGGGATCGTTGCTCTTGAGAATCCTCACAGACTTAGAATTACAAATAATAACAATAATAATACGATATATCCATAATTCAAAAAGAGTCATGTACCACAATGTTCATTGCAGCTCTATTTACAATAGCCAGGACATGGAAGCAACCTAAGTGTCCATCAATAGATGAATGGATAAACAAGATGTGACACATGTATGCAATGGACTATTACTCAACCATAAAAGGAAACAAAATTGAGTTATTTGTAGTGAGGTGTATAGGCCTAGAGTCTCTCATACAGAGTGAAATAAGTCAGAAATAGAAAAAAAAATACTGTATGCTAACACATATATATGGAATCTAAAAAAAAAAAAGGTTCTGATGAACCAAGGCGCAGGACAGGAATAAAGACACAGACGAAGAGAATAGACTTGAGGACACGGGGAGGGGGAAGGGTAAGCTGGGACAAAGTGAGAGAGTGGCATTGACATATATACACTATCAAATGTAAAATAGCTAGTGGGAAGCAGCTGCATAGCACAGGGAGATCAGCTCAGTGCTTTGTGATCACCTAGAGGGGTGGGATAGGGAGGGTGGGAGGGAGACACAAGAGGGAGGAGATATGGGGATATATGTATACGTAGAGATGGTTCACTCTGTTGTAAAGCAGAAACTAACACACCATTGTAAAGCAATTATACTCCAATAAAGATGTTAAAAATAATAATAATATGCTATATCCACATTGTAATTAGCTGAAATTCAGCACTATTTTTTTTTTTTCAAATAGGCTTGCCCTTTGCATTCAGTAGAGCAACACAATGCAAGCCATACAGTATTTCTTTTCTCATTTGGAATAATTAGAAACAGTTATTTTACTCTCCAATTTAAGGACTTTTTTTTCACCCTTAAGGAAACTGTCACATTTTTGGAGCTCTCAGTTCCTGGCCCATTACCTCGATTTTGTTACAAATTCTCAGCTTCCTGTGATTTATCTGACACATAGCAGCATTTCCTTGGATCTGACACTGAGTGAAGAGTGTCAGAAGTTTCAACTCATGACTGGTTGGAATGATTACTGCCACAGATGACATGCAGAGCATATTGCCAACTTATAGGCGACTTTGTGCACACAAAGACTTCAGCATTGTTCAAGAGACATTTTAGTTTTCTTTCTTATTGAGCCTTGGGGTGCTTTAATAAATAGAAGGAGTGGTGCCCATTGGGTCAAAATTGACATAAAGGCAAAGGCAGTGTGCCTAGCTGATGGAAATATTTTAACATAATTTTCACCCAAAGTCTTGAAATGTAAATAATATTCTGGTTGAAGTTCTTTTAACTGAAAAAAAAAAATCAGTGAAACAGAGTAATCCATCCTTGATTGTTGTTGCTAATGAAGATTTTGCTCTTATTTGTCAATTTACAGATCTTTAAAAATTCTCATCTCAGCCCTTCTTTTCAGTGATTGAATACTTGGGGTACTTAACTAAAGTCGCCTTCCTGATTCTGATGTCCACATCCAATTCATAATTGAACAGAAAAGATAAGCAAGACATTTAGATTCTTTCTATTTTTCAGCATCTATTGAAGATGACTAGGAAAGAAGCCAGGTAGAAGAGAGTGAAATAAACAGTTTATAAATAACTAGTAGAAAATGGAATACATGTCAAGGAAAAGTAGATATTAGTGGGCTAAGAACTAAAATATACAAGGTATATAAATAATTTTGCTTCTGTCCCCAGTGGTTCTTCTCTTTCCTAAACAGGAACAATATGGTTTCTTTATGGGTAAGTAGAGAGGTTGTCAAAGAAATGAAAGCAAAATCTTTAGCTGTGGGCTTCCCTGGTGGCGCAGTGGTTGAGAATCCGCCTGCCAATGCAGGGGACATGGGTTCGAGCCCTGGTCCGGGAGGATCCCACATGCCGCGGAGCAACTGGGCCCATGTGCCACAACTACTGAGCCTGCGCTCTAGAGGCTGCGTGCCAAAACTACTGAAGCCTGTGTGCCTAGAGCCCGTGCTCCACAACAAGAGAAGCCACCACCATGAGAGGCCCGCACACCACAACGAAGAGTGGCCCCGCTAGCTGCAACCAGAGAAAGCCAGTGCGCAGCAACGAAGAACCAATGCAGCCAAAAATAAATAAGTAAATTTATTAAAAAAAAAAGAAAAAAAACTTTAGCTGTGAGTAGAACAATTGACATACGCATGGATTCCTCATGGAGGGAGAATGCCTCTGCTCTGAAGCCAGCAGGGCTTAAGAGAAGGGATGGTGCTCTGTCACAATCGCACTGGTCATCTGAACATGTGGAAAATGAGGTTTAAAATGTGTGATCTATATGGTGGCTTAATACCTAACATTTCTCAGTAAGAAATTTCTCTATGAGAAACAAGCTAAAAAAAAAAAAAAAGCTTTAGCTGTTAAAATTCACTCATTGCTAATTAGTATTGTTGGGGGATGTACTACACACATGGAGTCTGAGGAAGAACATAAGATCAGTTCTGTGATTATGGTTATGCAGAGTTTTGTAGGTTATATAGATTTTATAAAATGGATTAGTCCCCTTGTCAGTGTCTGGCTATGCTAAGGAGGGCTATGTCCTTCAAATAAAATCTCCTATACAGATCACTAATACCCAAATTTCTACCTTTGGGCTAACATTTTGCTTCTGATTTTTTAAAAAAAATCTTAGTGCAACGTTGAATTGGTCACTTTTTTATGCAAGTTTATCAAACTTTGTCCTGAGAGTACATTTTATTTTGAGGAGAGAACACGGAGCAGTGGGCAAGGAGTGGAAGGTGACAAGAAGAAAAAAAAAAAAGGAAGAGTCCAGGACATGGAAGACAAAGCATCATGTTTTCTTTTGTCTTGCCACCAACATAACAGGTTCTGCCCAGTTTTATATCTGAGTTGTTAAAGACCCTAAGGCAGAAGTTCTCAACCTCTGTATTATTGACATGTGAGTCTTGGTAATTCTTTCTTGGGGTGGAGGCAGCTGTCCTGTGCATTAAGGGTGCTCAGCAGCATCCCTGAACTTACCCCACTAGATGCTTATAGGACCTCTTCCCTTTCCCACTTCAAGTTGTGACAATCAAAATTGTCTCTAGACATTGCTAGATGTTCTTGGGTGGACAGAATAACCCCCATGGAAAATAACTGCCACAAGAGAAATAATATTCCAAAATAAGAGCAACTTTAAACAAGACTAAATGGAGCCTCTGCATGATGGCCATAGGGTACGGTGAAGGGAATGGAGTGAAAGTCTATTACCAAGCATGATAAAAAAGGGGCAGAATGCTCAAAAAGTCTTGACTAGACCAGACTTTGCTGCTAATGGGGTTTTCAAATACAGGCCAACCTCTGTTTAAACATGCAAATGATGCAGGGGTGGGTCTCTGTAGAGAGAACTCCCACTTTACATTCACTGAGAGGCTAGAAATTGAGAGAGATCCAAAGAGTGATGAAACAGTCTGTAGTTAATTTTCCATAAATTACTTTACTTAGTAAAGAGTAAGTAAAATTTTTTGAAGAGTGCTTTTTGTTTTGATATGAATGCTAAGTTAATTTGAAAACACAATTTTGTGGATTATTAGTATGTTAAAATTCTAGGGCAACATTACATAAAAATTTACCTATTTATTTTTTATAAAACTAATCTAGGCAGATGAAAGCACAATAAACTTGATGTACATCAGACTAATTAAATACTAACATATTTGATGGGCTCTTCAATAAAACCTGAATTATAACAAATTGCCGATAGCTTGGTAGTGAGTGCACCCAATGAGACCCATTTTTAGAGAT